CCCCATCATAAGTGGACACGCCCCCTACTGCTGATTGGCTCACTCTCTCTCCTCCCCCATCATGAGTGGACACTCCCCCTATTGCTGATTGGCTCACTCTCTCTCCTCCCCCATCATGAGTGGACACTCCCCCTACTGCTGATTGGCTCTCTCTCCTCCCCCATCATGAGTGGACACTCCCCCTACTGCTGATTGGCTTACTCTCTCTCTCTCTCTCTATCTCCCATCATGAGTGGACATTAAAGGCTTCTTATTCTTTAACCCCTCGCCGTACTAGCTTAGCTAACTTCTAGCATTTTCAGAAGATATTGGGTATAGTTGATAATCTGAAAACGGCCAAATGTTGGCTGATTTGTCAGTCACCAATGTAAAGTGGTAAACGTGTTAAAAGTACCTATTAGAAAAGAACTGGATGACTGCAATGTGCCTCTGAGCCCAGCAGATGGCAGAACATGTTTGTAATAGCAGACGCACCACTGCACCAATCTCAGGTTATGCAACTAGGGTTTACCAGGTTAACTATAGCATGACTGCTTTATTGTCGATGGGGAAATCCAATACACTGAGTTGAGTATTAAATCCATGCAATCTGAGATAAGCATTGCCGTTTTGAAGTTGTCCGGCAGAAATTAGCTATGCAAACAGTCTTTAAAGAACTGCTAAATCCAACATCAAGATAAAAAGTAAAGGTTTAAGATGTTTAACAGCACATGTGGCCCTCGAGTCCTGAGATGACCCTTCTCTGTCTACTTTAATCCACACTCAGTGCTGTCACGGTGAAGAAAACGCAGGCAAACGCCAGCTGTGTGACGACTGCCAGTGACAGAAACTAGGTCACAGTGTGGTGAGTGGCTCCAATAAAACATTCACGTATAATTTGCATTTATGCACACAGAGAGAGAGCCCAGGCCACTAATTCCAAGTCTTTATTGGGTCATATGAGGTTAATGAAGACAGAAGAAAGAGCCACATGTATATATTTATACACACACACACACAGTTGAAACATCCCATGAATCTGCAGCGAGGCCTTGAATTGTACAGCCACACTAATGCACGAAACCTGACTGATCTGCCGAATCGCATGAGGGGAATGGTCAACACATGCAGAAATACATTTAGGTTTGTTTAAACAATGACGACGTACTATAAACGTTAAAGTTTTTGCTTTGCACTTTTCACGTACAATCGACAACGTTATCAAAACGATCCCCGATCACACGGATCTGTGAAAATGACTAAAAACGCTGTGTTATTCATGCCAGGCCAGTAGGTGGCGATGTCACTTGGTGAAGAAACACTATAGACTGAATATGTAATATGCATGCGCATGACATCGGCGTTTTCACAGATTCACGTGTTTGTAGTTTACTTTGAAACCCGTTTTCAAAAGTTTGTGTGTTCAGCCCCCTAAAACGCTGTTGTCGTGTAAATGAACGGCCAAAACACATAGAAAGTTTTCAGTTTTTAGTTGCACCTTTAGAGATGTCACGTGTCTTTGGCAACACAAAAGCCTATGATGAATGAGTTTACACTCCTTCACACGTAACCAAAATAACGTAACCACTTTTCCTATCCAATTCTGTCTTCAAAATAAAATAAAATAAAGACTTTATGTATGTAAGTGCAAACATATTACATCGTGTAGGGACCAAATCTGCTTTATAACATAGCAAAAGTTTCAGACCATACAACCTGGGAATGAAGATATAAATGTAACACAAAGAAAAGATATGAAATAAAATAAAGATTCTGCACTACTTTTAGATAATTTTCAAATTCATGTTAATTTTCCAGTTTAATAACCTTACTCAAATTGTAATGCTGATAATATAATCTGTCAAATAAAATAAAACAATGTATTCTTTTGACAAAGGATGTCTGAGGCTTTTGGGCCGTGCTGTATTTCTAGATACACTTTCATTTTGCTATGTGTTGTAGACTAAAGTTAATATATCTGTGAGTGGGTATATATTAACAAACATATCTGCAGAAGAACATTACATAACAGGACATGTATTAAAGGATATTTCAGCTTTGATCTGTCACACTTTATATTACAGTGTTCATGTTATAGTGTTTTTAAGTCAAGTCTTTTTTAATATATAGTGCTTTTCACAATGGACATTGTTTCCGCAAGGTCCTCATTTAGCAGTTCGTTTAAAAGAAATTGTGTACATTTATTTGTGTGTAAACCCATGGTTATTAATACTTCTGAACTACATGAACTCGCTGTGGGACATTTGTAAAACTTTAAATTTATGATAAGTAACATAACACATGTAACACTAGCACTGTAATTTAAAGTGTTACGTTGAATTATGAGGTAACTGTAAACCGGTAACATAAAATGCTCTCACAAAGTAATGCATTTCACTCCGGAATGTGCGTAGCTGTCATGAAAATATAGTTTTGTATAGTTTTGTCTTTTGATTTGGCCCGCTCGTGATGAGAATTCAGTCTGCTAATCCGACAGGTGTGTTTCACTGAGGTTGTACATTACAGTTAATAAATCAGTGTTATACAGTTAACAATGTAGGCGTGAAAACAGACAATGCAGAGAAGAAGGAATGAGCAAACGAGTGATCAGTGTGTGGAAGAGAGGGGGAAAGAGAGGCCGAGAATACACAGGGAGGGGACGTAAGACGATATCCCATCAGCCCTAGCAAACAGCCAAAGCTGTGCGGGACTCCATCCGGCAGAGAGGAAGAGGCACAGGGATCCATACAGATCAGGCAGATGCAATTTGATTTGTTGTAAGAGCAGAGAGAGGAAGATGATGAGAGCTTAGGCCTAATCCATAGAGAGAGAGAGAGAGAGAGAGAGAGAGAAAGGACACAAAAGCACAAATGAGACAGGAACATCAGGAGGAAATCACTGAAAAGCAAGTAAAGGTAGTGCGTCTGTCCATAAAGGCGTCTTTAAATATCTTAAAGTCCCCCTGTAGTCAATCATTGTATCCCTTAAATTTCATCTTTGATCACCAAAATGACATATTTAAAAGTTTTTTCCTGTGAAAATAATCTCTTCATGCCTTGAAATAGCTTGAATGTAACTCGACACCCATGCCTCATTTAGTATGCGCGGTTGTATGAATATGCAAATGAGCCCCGCCTCCACTCACTCACTCAGCTCAGAGATCCACTGGTTGACGATCACACGTTGATCTGATTGGTTACAAGGTCGTTTGTGATGTCAGAAACACCAGCGATTTCAAACCGTGTTTTTGAGACTGTCTTTGGTTCACTGCAGTTTTAAGGAGGAAATACTCAGCAATGCTGTCGACTTATGAATTTACACATGGTTTGTCTTAAAGCATATTAAAAACACCACATAGACACATAAACAACATTAAAAGCTGGATTTCACCACAGGGGGACTTTAAGCAGGACTGAACCAGCAATAAGCCCGAGAGGACGTCTGTTACAGTGATTTTACTGTGGTAAAAACCTTTTTACTTCTGGATTAAGACCGTTGCACTCTCTTGATATGCGGCCAATTTTACAGTTTGAACTTCTGTTTTATAATCACGGATGTTTAATTGTATGGTAGGTTAAATATAGCTGTGCAGTAACTGCTGATCATGGTCGAGCATCACAACATTAGTAATGTAATATCAGTGTCAGTGGTCAGGGTTTTGTGGGTAAGGAGAGAATGCTGGAGAATATCACATATCACTGATGTCACACAGGATATGACATCAGCAGGGGTCTACAGCCACTGAAGAGACTGCAGTGCAGCACTGACCGTCACAGGCCACATCACAGCAAACACGGCTGCGTTATTGTGCAGTAACGGGCAAAAATTAAGCTATAATGCGTGTGTTTTATTAGGGTTGTTGCAAATAATAGATATTTAATAATCTACATAATTAATATTGAATCCAATAATCAGACCTACACAGAGTAAAACTCACACTGCGTGACTTGTAAATTTGAGTGAAATTGTATATTCTGCTTTCTTAACGCCCGTTCACACCAAGAACGATAACTATAACGATAACTATAACGATAGCATCCACACCAGCGCACAAAACCGTTCTGTTTAATGTATTATATCTGGCAGATAGGCTGAATGAATATGCAAATCCACTCGCTGACAGTAGGTGGCGCTTATGAAGCAGAAATGCGCTTTCTTCTTCTGCTGTTCACTGTCGATTAGCAAAATAGCCAGTTTGTGAGCGCCACCAAATAGTAATTTCATGTAACGGCAGCGGCTTCAATGCTAAAAGTGCGTGACTGAAAAAGAGCAACTCTTATTAGTTGTCTAATTTTCTTCGCAGTGTGATGGAAAAGAGATTAGAAAATCTCTACATAAAAAAAAATGAAAATGTTCTTATCGATCTGCACAGACATGTTCATTTGAATTGGTTATCACATCGAATGTTCACAGCAAACATTATCTGCAATGCAAGGATCCTCAGGAGAACGTTATAGTTTTACGTTATTTATTACTAAATTATAATGTTTTGCAAGGAAACGCAATATTTCTCGGGGGAATGCAGCAGTTTTGTGAGAGAATGCAAATGTTTCTCGGGGGAACAAAAAAAGTTTTGCGAGAGAACATTTTTTTAGCGAGCAAACGCTATTTTTCTCAAGGGAACACAATAGTTTTGCGAGAATGCAAATGCTTTGGCGAGATAACGCAATTTTTCATGGGGAGAACAATAGTTTTGTGAGTGAACGCAATGTTTTTTTTTTTGAGGAATGCAATAATTTCACGAGAATGCAAGTGTTTTGCGAGTGAACAAATGTTTTGTGAGAAAACTAATTTTTCACGGGGAACGCAAATGTTTTGCGAGAGAGCTCAAATGTTTTTTTAAAGGGGGTGAAAATGTTTATCAGGGGGACGCAATGGTTTTGCAAGTGAACGCAATGTTTCTCAGGGGAATCAATGCTTGCAAAAACAGTGAAATGAAGTTTTGACCTTCTGTCACCGTGTTCCCTGACAGGCTCTGTACCCTCCAGCAACTTTAAGTGATAAAGATGTGAGTCCCTCACCCCGTTCCACTCCACACTGCCCTCTTCTCCGGCGTCACTGCTGCAGTCGTACTTCACGCTGGAGATCGATGCAGTGCTCCTGCGCCTCTCTCCGTCTCTCTGAGGGTCCACTGCCGCTCCCTGACACACACACACGCGTTACAAAGACATCATGTTTCCCACCACGCATCAGTAAAGGGATTACAGATGTTGCACCTGTCTGCGGGACCTCATGGCACACTCCTCGAGGGTCTCGGCCGCCTCCAGTTTACCCTGTTTACGGTACAGGGCGCCCAAGTTCCTCAGCGTGGTGTTTACTGTGGGGCTGTGCATGAACACACACACATGTGTCACTTTCATGTGTGTCAGACTCATCAAATCATCATCAGAGGTAAAAACATTGGTAATTAAAAAAAAAAATTAAGTCCATAAAGTTGCAGTATTATTTAATTATTAAAGATTTGCACAGTGTTTGAACAGTCCTTGTAAACTTGAACCAGAGTCACTTCCCCTCCCTCTTGCAGCGACATCTCTTCTCTGATGAAAAGGGGCGGAGCAAGCTGTCACTCACATCAGATCCACCAATAGCAAGCCACAACCATCCAATCAATTCCGCACAGACAAAATCAAGCCCCGCCCACATCTGTACTTGTTCAAGAAGCCGTTTCACTCAGATGTGTGTCCCAATAGGATAGAAAACACTATTGCTGACTTGAATTTAGCAAGTAATTGAGGCTGATTTTTCTCACCTGTTCACCTTGCAGGCTTTGTACCAGCCACCATATTCTCCATAATGATTCCCATCTGCCAGCTTTCCCTGTAAGAAAGAAGAGGCGGAAAACACACAGACACATAGAGAGAGAGAGTTTCAAAATCTTCTCAGCTGTCAATCATCCAGACAGGTTTGCAGTAAGGGAAACTATGCTTGCTGTAAATACACATACAGTGGGTATAGATAGTCACAACCTCCTTTCAAAATATTTGCAGTACTTTTAAAAGAAAAAGTTGTGGAAAGACACAGGGAATTAATCTGAAAAGACCATTAAAACATTTTTTTTTAAAGAAGTCTATACAATATGTCTGGCACAACCCCAATACATCTTACCAGCCGAAGAACACCATACAATGGCAGTGTCCTGTTGCGAGGGTGTTTCTTTCGGAGCACTTGTCGGGAAGGACAATGCAAAATTGTGCCAGACTGAGGAGAACCTGCAGCCCTACAATACCAATGTGGCCGAACGCCCAGTGACCCAGCAGACCCCCCCCCCAGCCACACAGCACTAAGTGGCCGAGTCCAGGGGTGTGCAGGGGTTTAGATGCCACAGACCCCCATATATGATCCTATGACCTCCAGCCTAAAAATAATATTTTTTTTATGTATAAAGACTCTTTAAAAATTATAAATAAGTGTAAAATATTATTTGTAAAACATTTTCTACTCAGTACTGTACTGTACTATACTAAAAAAAAGTGTTTATTTTAATCTAATTACTTATTTTCTAATTATTTTTAATCTATTTTTATTATTTTATCCATTTATATATATATTTTTCTTTTTAATCTCATGTTTGTTATTTATTTCATTCATTTACTTGTAAAATTATTTCATTTATTTATTTATGTTAATCTATTTACTTATGTAAATCACAGTCATATTATTTATTTAATTTTTACTTTTCTTTTTACATTTTTTTTCCCCCTAAACATTTCCATGGACAACCAAGCACTTCTTTGTGGACCCCAGTTTGAAAACCCCTGACCTTGTCAGAGCCTGATCTAAATCTGTGGAATGACTGCAGTGCAGCTTTTTTTGTGGATATTGTGTGTCACTGTGTGTAAAGTTAGTGTAAAACTAGAATTGTGTGTTCCCTTTCGAATGGAAACTCTTGCTAGGGGGCGCCATTGGGGAATGTCTCCGGCATGACCGGTGTCTGAAGCATGAGTCTAAACACGACAATGAACTTGACATTCGACATGCGTCCCCCTGAGGCGGTAGAGGAGCCATTAAACAAAGTGATCGGTCGATCTATGGCAGCCTTGGTGGCTACGGAGATACATCTTTGGGTGACCGTGGCTGACATTGGGGAGAAAGAGAAAAAAATCCTCCTCGATGCACCGGTTTTGCCTTCCAAACATTTTTGGTACAGCTGTTGTCGGGTACAGGCGGTGGTCGGGAAGTTTAGGGAGGCGAAGGCACACTCCACAGCTTTTAAGACCTTCATATCGTGCAGGTCCAGGTCTGCGCCCCAAGCCTCTATGGGGTCTGACTTCGGTTCGAGGACTGCAGACGAGATCAGAAGGGGGGGGGGGGGGGGTAGAGCACGGAGGAGGCATGGCGCCAAAAGGAGAAGATCTCAGGGAAGTGATCCAGAGTAAACGCACTGAGTGCTCCAGGGTCCCAGAGCGTTCCTTCTCCCCCTCCCCCTTTCCAACCCTGACTGAGGTCAGCTGGGGTGTGTTAGAGGCTCTGACACATGTTTACACCAGGCCCCTGAAGCTGGACCTATGATGTTTTTGGCAGTGTGTTCACTGACCTTACTGATGATTCGGCACATGTGGGTGGTTGTGAATATGTTGTCTGGTGCCTGGCGGTTTACTGAGTCGTTAGGCTCCCTCTCTGAGCCTCCTATAGAGAGTCGCTTTATAGAGGACTCCACTCCTCAGAGCTCCACCTGGATAGCAATATCAAGTATTTAGGCTCTATGTAAGCCTCGTTGGTAAGCCATCCTGGGTGTTGGATGTAGTTAGGCCTCCTCTGACTTGAGAGTCGTCATGTTGAGGCCTCCGTCCTCAGAGCTCGATCAGGCAATAGCGTTGAGTCGTTAGGCTCTTTGTGAGCCTCCTTGGCAACTGTTTGTGTTAGGAAGAGTCGTTAAGCTGAGCCCTCCGTCTTCCATGAGCTCCGCTAGGATAGCATTTCGATGTAGGCTCTCTGTGAGCCTTGGAAGCTGTCCTGAGTGTTGGGCGTTGTTTGGCCTCCTCTCATTTGAGAGTCTCTAGAGTCTCCACCACTATAGCTCGACCAGCCAGTACTGCCAAGTTGTTAGGCTTTCTTTGAACCTCCTTGCCTGTTGCCTCTATAGAGGAGTGTTGTTAGGCTCCTCTCACTCAGAGAGATTCGGGCTGAAGCCTCCACTCCTCAGAGCTCCTCCTGGGCCAGCAGTATCAAGATGTTGGGCACTCTGTGCGCCTCCTTGGTAGCTATTCGTAGCGTAGGACGTGGCAGGCCTCCTCTTGTTTGAGAACTTCAGATGAGGCTTACGTCCTCAGAGCTTGATTGGGCAGTAGTGCTGATTTGTTAGGCTCCCTTTGATCCTCCTTGGCTTCTGCTTTTATTTAGAGCATTGCTAGGCCTTCTCTCTAAAGAATGTCTCCTAGGTCTCTGCTCTTCCAGAGCTCTGCTTGAATAGCAATTCTTAGTCCTAGGCTCTTGTCAGCCTCTTTGTAAGCTGCCCTGAGTGTAGAACGTTGTTAGGCCTCCTGTCATTTCAGAGTCGTCTTGCTTAGGCCTCAGTTTGTAGAGCTAAGTTATGCCGTAGCACTGAGCTGCTGGCTCTCTGCCTGAGCCTCCTTGGTGCCCCTAGGTGGTTTGGGATGTAGTGCTGAGGCCTCCGTCCTCCGAGTCAGCTAGGGACCAAATTGTTAGGTTCTCTGTGAGCCTCCTTGGCTACTGCTTGAAAATGGAGCACTATTTGGCTCCCCTGAGCTCCGCCTGCTATTATTATGGGCATAGGACGCAGTGCCGAGGCCTTCGCCCCTAGAGCTCCAGCAGGTAGCATGGCAGGTTGTTAGGCTCTTTGGTCACTCTCTTAAAGCAGTGTGTTTTAGTCCTCCTCCCCTTATAAGAGTAATGTTAGGCCTCCACTCTGCAGAGCTTCGCCTGGCCAGCTAGATCAAGTTGCTAGGCTCTTCAGGGCTTCCTTGATAGCTGTTGTTCTTAGGGCGAGGTTAGGCCTCCTCTTGCTTTGCCATGCTTCAGGTACTCCTGCGCATGTCTCCTTCAGACAAAAAGCGGAGGACGTATTTCACAGGTGCGCTTTTTATACTCACAGTTTCACCTGTAGTCACATCACCGGCTGCCGCCTGCTAATGTCAAGTTCATTGTTGTGTTTAGACTCATGCTTCAGACACCGGTCAAGCCGGAGGAATTCTCCATAGCGCCTTCTAGGGGACGTGGCGTCTCGCTCCCCTTCTCAGGGAACCATGGTCACATGCGCAACCTGAGACGCTTTCAGTTCAGGCTGCAAGCAACAGAAGGTGAATATTTTGTGTGTGGTGAGCTGGTGACTTTCTATACCCACTATATCAGCCGGCCACATAAGCATATTAGTATCACACACACACACACAAACCTACTTTGCTTTCTTCTCGTTCCTCAGCGTGCATCCAGATGGGTTTATTTTCAGCTGTAGACAGAGAGAAACAGTGTTCTGCTACTGTAGTCGGCCATTACCAAACATACCACGGGAAAATCAGAAACAGTTTCTGCCAAATAATGTAGTTACTACTTTTTATTGTTACTACTGTGAAATCATCATATATTTTGCTAAACTTGCCAGGGTATTGCTGTGCTATGATATTATGATCTGTAGATACGACTCATTCAATCCTTGTAAAATTTTCGATTTAGGTTACAAACGTAGGAGTTTCATAATTTAATACTTGTTCAGATCACTACCCGTATGGGTTATAACAATAATTGCAGTAACTGCAGTACAATAATTTCTTAAAGTTCTGTCATGTACATGAACATGTACTAAAAATGTCAAGTTCACAAAAATAAATGTAGCATGAACCCAGCTAACAACATTATATTCTAAGAACGTTTTCCGAGCGTTCCCATTAAGGTATAAAGACGTTATTACTGCAAATTCCCTGAATGTTCTCAACGTAAATGTTTTAAAGAAGTTTTATATCTTGACTGTTAAGGGAACATTTCATTTGATCATTCTTCAAACATTATGGGAACATTACTTCTGAATGTTTGCTGAACATCCTAATAAACGTTTCAGAAAAAAAGCTCCATGAACAATATCACATAAATAACGTTTTGTGCTAACGTTAGCTAGTTCTGAAAACGTTCCCTGTTAGCTGGGAACATGTGAAACAGAAGATGTAAAGAAATCAAGAAAATAATCAAGTTGATTTATTGGAATGAAGTGCAAAATCAACATAAAAATGATTAACAAAATCAAACAGCAGACAAATTGGCCTGTTCCGAAAAGATAATCAATCTTTTACATAAAAAAAAATAAAAACATAAAATAAAAAGGACAATAAATGGATGATATTTTGAAAAGAAAAGAAAGCGATAGAACGAATGACTGTTTATACAGAACTTAAACTCAAAGATTTAAAACTTCCAAGAAGCAAGCGAGAGGGAAATCACACATACAAACCATCTGTTGAGTTGCTCGTACACTAAAGTTCTTCGCACTTCTGCTTTCACATTTATTTTTTAAACATTCACATTGAGTATTTTGCTTGGCACAGGCAAGCAGTTTCACTAATATAGCGTTTATATTTGAAAGACATTTCATCTTCATAGAATAAAATATATAAATATATTGCAAGACAAATATTCATAACACTCCCGCCCCAAACCCTGATGTCTCCAGTAAGAAGTGTGAATTAACCCTATGTTCATGCTACTAAAAAAGATGTTTGATTGGTTGTGCTTGCTGCTGGATTTCTGTGAAACCCCCGTCTGTAAACCACAGGTCAGATGTGCAGAAGGGTCACGATATGCTGAGCTCATCACTCTCTATCATTCAGCAATGACAACAGTTCAGGTTTATAATGTTGCCAGACTTTAGTAAGAAAGCATGCAGTCTGTCAGCTAGTGAATAATGAAGTGCCATGGTCAAGCAATGATCGTACCATCTACAGATCCGAACTCTTTCTCATGGGCGCGGGTCAGGATCTCTTTGTAGAGAATCTCAGCTTCCTTGTACTTGCCCTGTTTCAGATAGCATGAAGCCTGCGAGGGGAATACAAAACTGTTTAACAACTATGGCATGCACTTAAATTTGTAAAATGTAGGATGTTTGAAGAATCTCCCAAACTTTTAAACAGCAGTGTACAGGTATAATATATTTACAGTGAATTGGACTTCTGTGTCTTTTTCTCTCTTTTTTAATGTTTTACACTGCAAATAGATCTCTAGACAATGAATGAGGCTGTTTTATTGTGCGCAACATGTGCCGTTTGGATTCAAGATGAGTGCTGATTATATTCACCAGGTTGTTTTTGGTCTTGGCAACATTTGGGTCATCGGGTCCGAGTCTTTTCTCGTAGATGTCGAGAGCCCTGCAGTAATAATACTCCACCTCCTCGTACTTCCCCTGATTCTGGCAGAGCAGGGCCAGGTTATTCAGCTGCTTGGCCACGTCCGGGTGGTCCCGTCCCAACACCTGGGCAACGGAAGAGTGAAATAATTAAAGCCCCAATATACAGTCCCTCCAGAAAAACACGATTATGCGATCGCATGATTCAGTGCATAATCAGCCAAAGTCCGCATATTTATGCCGCACTTTCACCGCATAAATTGGCGATTTCCGTGCAAAATATTCGGGGTTTGCATGATTTCATAATCCTCGCATTTTCGTTGCAAAAAAGTCACATGTATCTCAGCAGAAAGATGGAAAATGTTGCGTTTGCTTCACACGAGAGCCGCCGTTTCCCACCATTGCCATGGGAACGTTATGAAGTGACGTGATTACACGACGTGAACGTCATCGAAAAGCTGTAAAACAGGAGCACACTTTATTTTTTTATATTTTATTTATTCCTTTTGTAAAGCTACAGAACTTGTTTGACTCATTAGTGTTTTGTAAGTTTGATGCGTTTATTAAGGTCTGAAATAAAACAAGATGAGAACTGAAATATTCCAGCACTTTCTGTGATGTAGTTCTGCTTGCTTATCATAGGAAGTAATAAGAAATGACTCTTTACAGTAAGGTAGTAGCCTGGTGAGAACAGGGTGTTGGGGGAATCACTTTTTTCTCTATTTTTCCATCAAACCGCAGTTTTTGCAGGTTCCCGCAATTTCACCACATAAAATTGCATAAATATCCCGGATATTCCATCGCATTTTTTAAGAAAACGGGCCGCATAATCAAGGGTTTTTGCCCGCAACAATCACAAAAACAATCACGTTTTTCTGGAAGGACTGAATATACTTCAAGCGAAACCAAAGATCTAACTGTTGTTATTTCGAACAAAATCAGGACAAAACGAAGTTTGCTTGGAGTTCGAAACAGAAAAGTTCGCTCTGGCTGGTAAACACCTTCAAACTCCCATTGGTCAGTAGTGATGATGTAATAGGTGGGTGTGGCTCTGAGGCTCCGCCTTCTTTGACATGGTTCATTTCTTCAGTTCAGTCAGTCGAGGTCAGATTTTACATTTACGGTATGCATTTTATCCAAGACGCTTTTATCCAAAGCGACCTGCATTGCACTTCAAGGTACACATTTTTACATTCTTATCAGTTCTTGCTTTCCCTGGGAATCGAACCCATGACCTTGGCGTCGCAAGCGCCAGTGCTCTACTGTCTGAGTAGAGTTTACAGTTGTAAAGTGCTGTATGAATGAACGTGACGTGACTTTATACAAATATATCCACATTGCTATGATCAGATGCTTTCTAAACTGCTGTTTTCTCACCGCTGCCATTTTTGTTGTGTTTACAATATGACTAACAAGTTAGAGAAGACATGTTTATTTAAATATCATATTAATCAATTGACAAGTGGCTTTTGTACGCCAGCAAACAGGCCAAGCATTTGTGATAGTACCTTCTCTCTGATCTCCAAGGCTCTCTTGCACAGCGGTTCTGCTTCCTTGTATTTTCCTCTCTTCCCATACAAGACCGCCAGGTTGTTGAGGGTGGCCGCCACCTGGATTAGCCGCCACACACACACACACACACACGGATTACCCAGCTGGCAGAAAATACTCCAAGAACATTTTGCTAACATTCCCATTGAGTTATGAAAATGTTACTTCTGAATTTCTCTGAATGCTCTATTATTCTTGGTCATGAGAACATTTAGGGAACATTTTAATTTATTTTGCAGACATTATGGGAACAATACTTTTAAATGTTCTCTGAAACAAGTAAAGTAGGTTAACATTTTTTCCATGAACAAGGTATAAATAATGTTTTTGTGTTTTTTGAGAACACTGATAACTTTGGATTAACGTTCTTGGAAGAACGTTAGTTCATAACTTTGAGAGAACCTTGCCACAACCTTAGCTAAACTCCTGAGGAAACTCCCTGTTAGTGCACTGAATCTTTGAAGGATATTCAATATTTTAAGACATTTAGTAGCAAGTATACTAGATAACCACAAGAGTAATTGTTGGGGGTAATGCATTACAAGTAATCCAAGTTATGTAATCAGATTACTTTTTCAAGTTACTAGTAAAGTAATGCATTACTTTCCAATTTACAACAAAATATCTGAGTTACTTTTTCAAATAAGTAATGGACGTTACTTTGTTCCCCATGTATGCACTGCCAGCTCTCCTGTCCTCATGCTGAGAGGAATCGTGAGTAAGTGCAGAGGCGTCGTGTGTGAACATGGTGTTATTGTAGATCTAGACTAAATGTGATCATGCATTTACTCATCTCACGTACACAAAAACACATTCAGTAATATTCAGATTGATGTTTTGAGTTACTCACAGCTGGGTGGTCATTGCCCAGGGTCTTCTCTCTGATTGACAGGGCATCATTAAGGAGATGGGCCGCTTCCTTGTATTTATTCTGGTCCCTGAATGAAAAGAAGAAATACAATAAAGGCTTATATCAGTGGGCAGAGTTCTTTTGATTAACTATGATTCCACATTAAGTAATAGAGAATTGGTTTTCCATGAATTGTAGAATTGTCAGTTTTTGACAGAGGAGGCTAAAAATAATCAGCAATTTAAAAAATAAACAAATTTGAAATGTATAGAATGATTAAAAACACATAAACAGACTTATTTCACACTTTACTCTGCTGAGTTGCTGAAGCTGGTTAACCAGCATGACTTTCCTGGTAAAGTTGGTTGACTAAGGAAGTCTTGCTTGTTAAAGAAAAAAAGTTCTGTCCTCATTTACTCACAATCATGTCACTCTAAACCCAACAAATGACTTTATTTCTTCTATGGTACACCAAAGGACGAACATAGAAACATTTTACTGGTTGTTTTGTCCACGCAGTTACAAATAATGGGGAACTGGAACTTCAATAGAAATATGCAAATATGAATGTGCAAATGTGTGCTGCGCACTTTTCTCAATAACAAAATCATAACTGCTTTAAAACAAGCAGCTTTACATTAATAAACATGAAAAACAGTGACAGTGTTGCTTTCAATTAGAAATTCAACTTCAATAATGTAAAGTAGCACATGTTTTTACAGGCGTCTGACCTCGACTGACTGAACAGAAGAAATGAACCAGAGAAGATTTCCATGTCAAAGAAGGCGAAGCCTCAGAGCCACACCCACACCCATCATCACCACTGACCAATGGGAGTTTGAAGGTGTTTACCAGCCAGAGCGAACTTTTCCAGAGAATTAAGCTGTTTTTGAACTTCCTAAACAAACTCCAAACAAAATTCGTTTTGGCCTGATTTTGTTCGAAATTAGTTTGTTCTTCGATTTTGCTTGAAATACGTATATATTGGGGTCTTAAAAGTGTCATAACAGTTGTACATATGAACTGTAAAGGGTTCAGATATCCAGATAACCTACGTTGACGAAGATGGTTTTGGAGATACTTTTTTGTTTCTTTGTGAGTTTCACCTGTTGTGGTACTCATTGTGTTGATTTTCCCCTATCCTGTTAGACCTGATTGCCTTATTGGTTAATTGATTGTATTAGGCCTCATTAGGTTAATTGTATTCTGTCTGATTATATGTGGGACTTAACTTTTAATTTGTTGCCATTCTCATATCTTGTGTTACTTTGCCCTGAAGAAGACCACTTGTTGGTTGAAACATGTTGGCTCATGTACTTTTTAATGACTTAAGCCACATTTAATAAAGGCTTTTTAACTTTATCCTTTCTTCTCATTGAAGACTTGAAGAGTGCCTGGGACCTGTTCTTTTGTTTAGTTGTACATATGACTTGTGCACTAAATTACAAGCTTTCTGAAGTCATTTAAGTCCTTATTTGTTCAAGGAAAATATCGAAAAGCTTCAAATATAGCTATGTTGGCCATTGTAATGAGGCTTTTGAGTCCTGTATGATGCTTGAAAGTGCCATTTTTCAAAACGTCTCCTTTTGTGTTTCATGTAACTCAGAACATAGAGGTTTGGAATGACACGAGGGTGAATAACCAAGGACTGAAATCTGGTTCAACATGGGCCTGGGCATGAGCAAACACACACCTGTAGACCAGAGCCAGGATGTTGAGCATGGTGGCCACATCGGGATGGTCGTGTCCAGAGGTTTTCTCCAGGTCCTCCAGAGCCTGTTTGCAGAGAGGCACGGCCACCTCGTAGCGGCCCTGGGCGGCGTACTGGATCACCAGGTTATGGAGGGTCCTGAGGCGGGCCGGGATCTCGTACCCGCCCTGCTGCGCTGCCGCCACGGCGGCGCTGTTGTGCTGGTGGGAGACTGAAGAGACAGAGACACACAATGGCTGAGTTTCCATACAGAGGTGGGATTTAACTTGTGCACAAATTTTGAATAGCGCATAAAACAATTGTTATAAAGCACTGTTTCCTTCCCATGTGTTTAAGAGAACAAAAACGGCACTTCCTGGGAAATTTGCGCAAAATATCGGTAATAATTGTTGCGCAATTGGGGAAGAATATGTGGCTTTTTTACGTACATTGTAAATTTATTGTGTTTTAAAGCACTCAGAAGCACCAAACCAACATTTGAGATGCTGCGATGCGATTGGTCCGCTGGTTAGACCAGATATCCAATCATTTGGCATTATCAGGACCCACAAATATTCCCCTATTGCATTATTATATATTATATTCAACATTATAGTAGTTTAAAGTAGTACTGACACTAAAACTCTGAAAACTTGATTTTTTTTCTCACAGTAATTTTTATGTTGGGGGAAACTATCCACAATACATATTGTTGCATTTTTGTATTGCGATACATGTGTCACAATATATTGTTACACCCCTAATTAATACCTGTTGTGCATTAATGTCACGATAACTATATTAACTGTTGTTGTTTTTGGCGTATACCTACTAACGCAATGTCATTTCCATAGAAAGCAAAGCAGATATCCCGTAAAATGAAAGAGCGCCACGGGACACACAATTCAGATCCAGGACAGTCAACAATTTAGATCGGATTCCAATCAGATTTGGATTGACAGTGAACATAGCCAAAGTAAACCCTGTGACCAATAATATCTCTCAAACTAGAATGTACATTTCCAGAAGAAAATGTGAAGTGGTGCTTGCAGTGGCAAAACTCGCCGCTCGGTTGCTAGCGTGCGGTTAGCTAGTTTTTACCAAGATGCTAGCATGATTAGCATGATTAGCATGTTGCTAGCATCATGCTAGCATGATTAGCATGTTGCTAGCATCATGCTAGCATTATAAGCATGTTACTAGCATGTTTTAGTTAGATTCTCCCATTATGCTAGCATGTTGCTAGCATGATGCTAGCAAAAATAAGAATGTTGCAAACATGTTTTAGTTAGATGCTAGCATAATTTGCATCATGCTAGCATGATTAGCATATTGCTAGCATCATGCTAGCATGATTAGCATATTGCTAGCATCATGCTAGCATGTTTAGCATATTGCTAGAATCATGCTAGCATGATTAGCATATTGCTAGCATCATGCTAGCATGTTTAGCATGTTGCTAGCATGATGCTAGCATGTTTAGCATGTTGCTAGCATGTTGCTAGCATCTTGCTAGCATGATGCTAGCATGTTTAGCATGTTGCTAGCATGTTTAGCATGTTGCTAGCATGTTGCTAGCATGATGCTAGCATGATTAGCATGTTGCTAGCATGATGCTAGCATAATTAGCATGTTGCTAGCATATTGCTAGCATGTTGCTAGCATGATTAGCATGTTGCTAGCATGATGCTAGCATGATTAGCATGATGCTAGCATGATTAGCATGTTGCTAGCATGATGCTAGCATGATTAGCATGTTTCTAGCATATTTGTAGCATGATTAGCATGTTGCTACCATGTTACTAGCATGATTAGCATGTTGCTAGCATGATGCTAGCATGATTAGCCTGTTGCTAGCATGTTTGTAGCTAGTTGCTAGCATGATTAGCATGTTTCTAGCATCATGCTAGCATGATTAGCATGTTGCTAGCATTATGCTAGCATGATTAGCATGTTGCTAGCATGATGCTAGCATGTTTAGCATGTTGCTAACATGGTTGCTAAGGTATTACTAGGTGGTTGCTAGGGTGTTGCTAGGCGGTTGCTAGGGTGTTCTGGGTGGTTGCTAGGGCGTTGCTAGGCAGTTGCTAGGGTATCCTGGGTGGTTGCTAAGCGGTTGCTAGGGTAATTTGTGTGGTTGCTAGGGCATTCCTAGGGTGTTCAGGGTGGTTGCTAGGGTGTTGCTAGGTTGTTGCTAAGGTATTCTGGATGGTTGCTAGGGTGTTCTGGGTGGTTGCTAGGCGGTTGCTAGGGTGTTCTGGGTGGTTGCTAGGGCGTTGCTAGGCAGTTGCTAGGGTATCCTGGGTGGTTGTTAGGCGGTTGCTAGGGTAATTTGGGTGGTTGCTAGGGCGTTGCTAGGCAGTTGCTAGGGTGTTCTGGGTGGTTGCTAGGGTGTTGCTAGGCAGTTGCTAGGGTATCCTGGGTGGTTGCTAGGCGGTTGCTAGGGTGTTCTGGGTGGTTGCTAGGGAGTTGCTAGGCAGTTGCTAGGGTGTTCTGGGTGGTTGCTAGGGTAATCTGGGTGGTTGCTTTGGTGTTACTAGGTGGTTGGTAGTTGTCAAAGATGGTTACTGTTGAGTTTGTAGCATTTTATTGGCATGATTTAGCACTTAGCTAATCAATATTAGCATGTAGCTATTCACTGTTAGCATGTGTAGCATGTAGCAAGTCCTGTTTGCTAGCATGAGTCAAAATAGCCAACCCCCATCTCTATACGATGTTCTGATGCAGAGATATCGGTCTTGCAAAACGGTTGCTAGGGTACACTGTTTGGTTGCTAGGGAGTGGCTTGGCAGCTGCCAATCATGAAGCTCCAAAGTCAATGTGAATGTATAAACCAACCCCCATCTCTATACGATGTTCTGATGCAGAGATGTAGGTCTTGCAAAATGGTTGCTAGGGTACTCTGTTTGGTTGCTAGGGAGTGGCTTGGCAGCTGCCAATCATGAAACTCCAAAGGCTGCTTGTCAGTATGAATGATATAAACCAACTCCCATGCCTCTGTGACATTCAGAATGGACGATATTCCTCTTTGGATTTTGGTTGCTAAGGTGCTCGACAATGGTTGCTAGGGCGTGGCTAGGAAGTGTTGAGGTGATTCATGATTGGCTGTTTGCTGCCCCGAGTCAAACGAGACCACCCTCATGTTTCTATGACAATTCAGTCCAGAGATATCCCTTCGATCTTTTTCAATGGAAGTCTATGGGAGTTGTTGCTAAGGTGCTCTAAATGGTTGCTAGGGCGTGGCTTAATAGCTTCACAATGATCCTGAGAGACTGATTGGTCGTCTGAGTAAAATGAGCCCGCCCCCTTGTCTCTATGACACTGTGATCCAGAGTTATGTTCAATAGAAAATCGCTTACTATGGTGTAGGACGGCCCATTTCATGGGCCGTCCTACACCATAGTAAGTCAATGGGGCAACTTTGGGCCCCTCCTGCACCCCAGGGGTGCAACTTTTACCCCATTGTGTGGTATGTTCTTACAGAGCCTGTCAGCCTCTTCAAATGTGGTAAATTACATGTTTCTGCGACATCCTCGTTCCGAGCTACGACTCGTCAAAGTTTGACGCAATGTTAAGTCTATGGGATTTTTCGGCCGGTTTTTCGCCCCTGGGGCGAACATCGTACCCCCGATCCCTTATAAAAGTCATAGCACACCATTCCCGAATAATCCGCACGATTTGACGCCTCATTCGTGGGTCTGTGACAAAAACTGCGGGAGGAGTAGCGCGTCAAAAAGTGGCCAGAAGAATAAGAATAAGAATAAGAACTAGAATGTACATTTCCAGAAGAAAATGTGAAGTGGTGCTTGCAGTGGCAAAACTCGCCGCTCGGTTGCTAGGGTGCGGTTAGCTAGTTTTTACCAAGATGCTAGCATGATTAGCATGTTGCTAGTATCATGCTAGCATGATTAGCATGTTGTTAGCATTATGCTAGCATTATTAGCATGTTGCTAGCATGATTAGCATGTTGCTAGCATGATGCTAGCATGATTAGCCTGATGCTAGCATGATTAGCATGTTGCTAGCATGTTGTTAGCATGATGCTAGCATGATTAGCATGTTGTTAGCATCATGCTAGCATGATTAGCATGTTGTTAGCATCATGCTAGCATCATGCTAGCATGATAAGCATGTTGTTAGCATCATGCTACCAACATGCTAGCATGATTAGCATGTTGCTAGCATGATGCTAGCATGATTAGCATGTTGCTAGCATGATTAGCATGTTGCTAGCATGATGCTAGCAAAAATAAGCATGTTGCAAACATGTTTTAGCTAGATGCTAGCATGATTAGCATATTGCTAGCATCATGCTAGCATGTTTAGCATGTTGCTAGCATGTTGCTAGCATGTTGCTAGCATGGTTGCTAAGGTGTTACTAGGTGGTTGCTAGGGTATTATGGGTGGTTGCTAGGGCGTTGCTAGGCGGTTGCTAGGGTGTTCTGGGTGGTTGCTATGGTGTTGCTATGCGGTTGCTAGGGTATTCTGGGTGGTTGCTAGGCGGTTGCTAGGGTGTTCTGGGTGGTTGCTAGGGGGTTGCTAGGGTGTTCTGGTTGGTTGCTAGGGTGTTGCTAGGCGGTTGCTAGGGTGTTCTGGGTGGTTGCTAGGGTGTTGCTAGGCGGTTGCTAGGCGGTTCTGGGTGGTTGCTATGTTGTTGCTATGCGGTTGCTAGGGTATTCTGGGTGGTTGCTAAGGTGTTTTGGGTGGTTGCTAGGCGGTTGCTAGGGTGTTCTGGGTGGTTGCTAGGGTGTTCTGAATCGTTGCTAGGGTGTTGCTAGGTGGTTGCTAGGGTATTCTGGGTGGTTGCTAGGGTATTGCTAGGTGGTTGCTAGGGTATTCTGGGTGGTTACCAGGGTGTTGCTAGGCGGTTGCTAGGGTGTTCTGGGTGGTTGCTAGGGTGTTGCTAGGCGGTTGCTAGGGTATTCTGGGTGGTTGCTATGGTGTTGCTAGGCGGTTGCTAGGGTGTTTTGGGTGGTTGCTAGGGTGTTTTAGGTGGTTGCTATGGTATTCTGGATGGTTGCTATGGTGTTACTAGGTGGTTGGTAGTGTTCACATTTGGTTACTATAGAGTTTTTATAATGTTCATGGCATGATTTAGCACTTAGCTAATCAATATTAGCATGTAGCTATTCACAGCTAGCATGTTTAGCATGTTGAAATTCCTGTATGCTAGCATTAGTCAAAAGACCCAACCCCCATCTCTATACGATGTTCTGATGCAGAGATGTAGGT